CATAGGATGTTGTTCCAGAACTGTGAAGGCTTTTTTAGATGTCGTTTGGCAAACTCTAATCTGGCCTTCCTGTTTTTGAGGCTCACCAATGGATTACATCTTGTGGTGAACCCTCTGTATTCACTCTGGTGAAGTCTTCTCTTGATTGTTGACTTTGACACACATACACCTACCTCCTGGAGAGTGTTCTTGATCTGGCCAACTGTTGTGAAGGGTGTTTTCTTCACCAGGGAAAGAATTCTTCGGTCATCCACCACAGTTGCTTTCCGTGGTCGTCCGGGTCTTTTGGTGTTGCTGAGCTCACCAGTGCGTTCCTTCTTTTTAAGAATGTTCCAAACAGTTGTTTTGGCCACGCCTAATGTTTTTGCTATCTCTCTGATGGGTTTGTTTTGTTTTTTCAGCCTAATGATGGCTTGCTTCACTGATAGTGACAGCTCTTTGGATCTCATCTTGAGAGTTGACAGCAACAGATTCCAAATGCAAATAGCACACTTGAAATGAACTCTGGACCTTTTATCTGCTCATTGTAATTGGGATAATGAGGGAATAAACACACACACCTGGCCATGGAACAGCTGAAAAGCCAATTGTCCCATTACTTTTGGTCCCTTAACAAGTGGGAGGCACATATGCAAACTGTTGTAATTCCTACACCGTTCACCTGATTTGGATGTAAATACCCTCAAGTTAAAGCTGACAGTCTGCAGTTAAAGCACATTTTTGTTCGTTTCATTTCATATCCATTGTGGTGGTGTATAGAGCCAAAAATGTTAGAATTGTGTCGATGTCCCAATATTTATGGACCTGACTGTATGTAAGCCCTCCAGGTTAGTTAGATAGTTTTTTTTAGATAGAGGCAGCCAGCAGCATGAGATGAGTCAGCCTGGGGAGGTAGGTAGTGAGGCTACCTCAAGACCAGCTAGAAAGCCCTAACACCTTTCAAGAAACCTGAGAGTTATCTGGAAGCGGGGTGGTGGAGGGGAGAAAACCCAGATCTGCATGTTTGAGGGACCCTGGCCAGTCGCCTGGCAGGAGACTGGGCATGGTGATCAGGACAACCCTCAAATGTGGCAGAGCCTAGGGAGAGGTGTGCAGTGTCGGGTGGAAAATGGATTGAGAGGAAGGCTGGAATGAGGAGCCTTGGAGGGGGCCCCAGGGAGGGGAGCCCACATGCAGGCAGAATTCTGGAAGGGAGGATCCCCTCTGTCCCCCCGTCTCTTGGGAGGACAGCCTGTGAAGCAGGAAAGGAGCCAACCCAGCATAAGCCCTAAAGGCAGCCACCAGCCCACCAAGCAAGCAGGAAAGGAAAGACTGAGTACTCCTACCCCTATGAGCCAGATAAGGGGAGAGGGCAGTGAGGTGCAATACCAAATTAGTCTTCATCCAAGAATGCTTAACTGCAAGCTCTTGGGCCCCTTTGCTCAGGGATACCCTCAGGCAGCTGGGTAAAGAGGGGGAATCATCTGGAGTCTGAGAAGGTACACCAAAGAGCCTTTAGTGCTCTTCCAAGAGACTGTTGCTATCCACATTTGTTTTGTACATAGTTTCTCAAAAGTTGTCCTCAGGTTTACAGATCCTCGGGCATCACATATACCTCTACAACCCATCCAAGTTCTTAACCCCTTAATAAATTCACAAACCTAAGCTCAAGGGCTGTTTACTGACTCCAATGTGCAAGATGTGGGAAATGGACCCAAATCAAACTCAGTGGCCCATTCGAGGGTAGTGCTACACATAGAATATCAGTGATGTTGGATAATGACCATATAACAGAAAAATGATATAGGAGTGCTTGGTAATTGGGTGCTTAGGCTTGCACTGCTGTCATAATGGGTAGGGAGAGGGTCTGTGAAAGATCTAAATTATGATTTGCACAGATTGTGAACAGGACTTTCTCCTATCATGGAGTGACAAAGGGCCGAAGGGAAGGGAAGTGTAAGCTTTTGCTGGGGCAGGTATCAAAAGGAACCCATTGCTTAGCCTTGCATGACAAAAGCCTGGCCTCCCTTTAAGGTGCTCACATTTTTCTGTCCTATGACTTGATTATCCAGTTGTCTAATAGGCTCATCATTACATTTCCTTTCAAGCGTAACATGTTTGGAATGACAATGTAAATATCCTTTATATTCTTAGTGTGTCTATTAAAAACAAGCACATGTAGGTATTTTTCATTTAATTATTTGCTTGCGTTTATTTATTTTTTGTGTTGTAAGATTGTTGTATGTATGGTGTATTGATCTATTTTTTGTAATCTTAACAGCAAGACTTTTTTTGGATAGAGCAGAGAGGGATTAGTACACCTGTCAGGTTTTTTATTGCTTAGTAAAACAAGTATGCAGAGTTTATGGAAATAATCTGGTAAAAAAACAGTGCAATAACTTAAAAAATAGCACTAAATAAAGTGACAAGTGATAAAGCGAATGGATGAAGTAGTATAACTAAAATATGCACAGGTAAATCAATAAAAAATGCACTAATGTTGGGTAAACATAAATAACTGAATGATAAAGTTCATAAGGTGCAAAAGAGTGCTTATCAATCCATATTCCAGCATACTAATGACTGGCTCAGGGACAAAAAAGTGTGAATGAATAAGCCCTCTGTGACTAGTCAAAAGTAAGGACTATCTGTATTACCTCCTTAACCACTCTGACACTCCCCTGACAATGAGTTAGACGACACCAAATTGAGTGAAGCAGTAGTTCTATTTACATCAGGCAACCTGAACAAGAATAAGGCGACACAATCAAAGAGCAAAAGAATATAATGACCCCTAACACTATACAGAGACCTTCTATGCTACATATGTCAGTGTACTAAAGACAAGGCCTGGATTTCACCAACTACTTAGATCAGCTTAAACCAGGGGTGTCAAACTGGCGGCCCTCCAGCTGTTGTGAAACTACAAGTCCTATCATGCCTTTACCTTTGGGAGTCATGCTTGTAACTGTCAATCTTGCAATGCTTCATGGGACTTGTAGTTTGGCAACAGCTGGAGGGCTGCCAGTTTGACACCCGTGGCTTAAACTGTAACAAGGACACAAAGGGTGCAATGATGGCAGCAAGAAATGTAGTAGTAAAGCCTCTATATGCCACCATCAAATCTCCCTGTAGTGATCCAGCAATGATATATATTCAAGTCTGCCTGCACAACTTCACAGTATACCCATTACACCCCTAATGATTCCCCAGTAAAATTCTCCAATAATTCCCCAATAAAAGAGTAAGACTTGGATGGTAAAGTCTGTGAAGGTGGGTATGCTTACCAAAAAAAATGCAGTTCCCTCAGAAAAAAAAATGTTAGAGGAAAGAATTTAGGTCCTGCCAGCTTGGTTGGGACCCTTACGGTGGTCAGGGCCATAGATAGGGGGGGTACCACCAGTCCTCTTGTATGGGGCCCAGGCCAGCAGGAGGGGCCCAGGCAGCTGGCTGAATTGGATGTGGATAGGGAGGATGATCGCCATGCCGGGGGGGGGGGGGGTTTCTGGAACCGATCCCCTGTATAGCTCTCAATGCAGCAACTGAAAGCTGGCTTCTTCTCCCCTCCCTCTCGATGGCTTTCAGCTGCTGCACAGAGATCCATATAGGGGATCGGTTCCCCCACTGCACCTATCACTGCCCAGGCCCCCCTGTATGCCCCCACAGCACTGTTGACCTCCTTCCTCTCCTTCTCACCGACAGTTGCAAGCGAACAATAGGATCCTTCAGGATGGAGAGTGGGGGAAGGGCCTTTCCTGAATGAACATGAGTGCTCGGTACCAATCACTCACTGTGTTTATTTATAACTGAAGCATACGAAACTGTGTTTTTTTTGGGGGGGGGTAAACCCTGTCATGTTGGCTGTATGGGGCCTCGTGGTTTCTAACAACAGCCCTGATGGTGGTGTACAATTGTTGGAGTTCAACGGTCCCCGTCTGCTTAGAGTCAGTTATACAGTTGTAGCAGATGGAACTGGAGGGGGGTTTAACTCAGAGGAACTCAAGTCAATAATGAAGTATTAAAAAGTTCAGGGTGGGGAAAGGAAGTGATTATCAATGTAGCATTGAGACAAGGGGGAAGGTAGTCTTGGGGAGTTAAGACAGTAATCTTCAGAATGGTCTGGCTAGCTTTGATGACTCTCAAGAGAGTGGTAGGGTAACACAATGGTGAACTAGAGTGTCTATGTTTGCTGTTCAGTGCAATGAATAGGTTAACAACCCTCTCCCCAACTCCTGCGCTTTAGTGGTAGGTCTTGGCAATGAAGCGGGTCCTCATGTGCTGATGTTATGATTCCAGCAAACCCACTTGGCTCTTCTGGAACAGCTGGGACAGACTAGCAACCCAGTTCTGTGTCTCTGGAATGCAGAGGGATAGATTGGTGATTCCACTCTCCGTCCCCGGTATAGCCATAGTTGGACTGATGACTCCATTCTGTGCCTTTGGTGCAGCTGAAGGTAAGCTGGCGATTCAACTCAGTGTCTCTGGACCACTAAGGATAGGACACGTGGGAAAACAGGTGCTACAGACTCAGCACCCCGTCCCCACTTCTGACTCCTTTCTCGGTCTGGCGCCAAGTGACCTCGGTCTTCCTGGGAAGTGTTGCAAAAGTTCTCTCCCCCTCCTCCTCGGCTGCAGGACCCCTGGGAACTGTAGTTTTCTTTTCCACAGAGTGCAGTTCCACCCAGAGGTTATAGAGCTACACATCCCATGATACTTCTCTTTAGTACCTTTCCTCTCCTGGCACCCAGTCTAGGCCCATTGGAAGAGAATAATGAAAGTCAATAGGAACATAATAACATGCTGACTCTTGCTGTCCCTCAACAATTCAATGTAGTTAAATTAGTCATTACTTACAGAGGTTTGGTGCCAGTACCTAACTACACATATATTTTTTTTTGTACAGACAAAGGAACCTTAAAGAAGGCATATAAATTCAGCACTGCCCCATTCTCCCATCCCAAAATAAACAAATCAATTCTCATTCAAGGTGGTGCTATGCTGTTGTTAATATAGGTACTTACCTGTGACAATCCCAGATGTACAGAAGCTGTCTCTGAAATGTACATTATTTTTCCATCTGAAGCAACCACAAAAACAAATCCATCCAGGGTCTGTAGAAGAAAGAGAACCTCAATGTTAGAGAGAAGCCCAGATAACAACAGAGGGCAGGAGACAAGAAGGACAAAAGGAAAATGATCCCTTTGGGGTCTCACAATTGAAAGTTGGTTCTAATAATAAAGCGATGGTTGCTGCATGGTGAAACATTTCAGTAATACAACCATTATGGAAAGTATTTAGGTATATTGGATGATGATATCATTTTGTATAAGCTCTGCCCCTTGTGTCAAGTGTTTATTTTCCTGAAAACTCTGTCCATGATGCATTATTGGAATGTGGTCTTATTAATATGTTAAACTGTTTTCAACAGTACAGCCCACTAAACTAGAGAAAGATAAGGTGGTTTTTAATTTTTTGTTACAAATTATAAAGAGTCTTATGACTTTTCTCAGCGTCCTCTGCAGCCCCCTTTAATGTTTCTACTGAATTCAGCCACAATAGTCCAGAGCAGAATCAGATCTTTGACCCTCTCTATCTGTCCTGGTGACCATTGCCACTTTGACCAAACGTAAGTTGTCAGCAGAACAGGAGTAGAAGGGAAACCTTCCAATGGGAACACTTGTGACCTTTTGGCTAAGATCAAGTGTAGTATCTGTTCTTATCAGTGTCCAGTGGGGGTGCTCCCGGCCATTCTAGCTTTGCAGGGATGGCTGTTGTATAGTACCCTCACTGGTATGATGGGGGTCCGGAAGGCTAGTACCGGAAGGACAGAAACCGGGGAGCGCCACAAGTTAAGTTGGGGCCCTGGGAGTAATTCCTCCGAGAAGACTGGAAAGACCCAGTACCTCCTGATTTGGACAGATCTACCTTGGTCTTGCCAGGGGCTGAGGAGGCAGAAAGTCCGCAAACTCGGTGCCCCCTGAGTAGACGCTCTCAGGGGTGCCACTAGTAACACCTGGGTGTGGGACCCCACTGTGTGAACATGGCACATGGTCACTGTTTTTACATTCTTTTTGCACAGCGCCCTAAGGACCAGGCCTTTTGGCTAAGTCCAGGGCAATTTTTGCTACGGGCCTCAGGGCCTGGTCTGTGCACAATTTGGCACGGTACCACTTTTTTAATTTATATTTATTTAATTGAACACCTCCCACGTTTGTCACTTTTTCTTTGCTTATGCGTGTGTTTTCACTGGATGGTAGGGTGTGGGTCCTCGGGCCTACCCTGAAGTCTAGGGGGAGGATGTGTGGCCTTTTGGTTCCTTCCTCCCCTGATCCCTAGGGGACTCTTCTTCGGGGGAGTCCCCTGACCAAGTACTGAGTGTCTGGCTTCGGCTGGACACAAGGAAAGGTGGTCCACCAGGCCTTTTGGCCAGGAGGACCAATTGGGAAACCTTGTCCCCGTCAGGAGCTTCGTGCCCCGGGGGATCAGAGTAAGCGGTCCAAGCCCCTTTAGGGGTAGGACACAAGCACACCCCTAAGTGCACTTTTTCGTGTGGTGTTTTGCGCTTGCACTTTTTTTGTGATTCACTTACGGGTTTTTTTGTTGTAGTTTGCATGTTTGCGGACTTAAAAAAAAAAAAAAAAACTGTCTAAGAAAGGATTTCCTACTCTATCTAAAATGAAAAGGAAAAAAATTTTGGCTTCAGATTTACTTTAAATCCTTTTCTGGAAAATAGCCTATGCATCAAGGGAGCCCAGCAGATATAAAAAAAAAACTGTGCAGCTTTGTAAAACGTTCATTAATTCACTGTCATACCTGCAGATCAAATGGCCCATGGAAGCCTGGGCAAACAAATACCTAGCTAGCAAGGCCCCGCATCCCACCTCGACGCTCACTGCCAGCTTTGCAGAAGTGAAATCCAATGGCTTTCACATGCTAGCAACAAAACAGGATGTGGGAATTGCTAACTGGGATTTTTTTGGACAGGCTTTAAGGGGGGCACAATAAAATGATTCAACATTTACAAACCTGCACAGTTTTTAATATTTACTTGAGACCCTTAACATCACAGCTGTTTTCTGAAAAAGGTGAACGTAGACTTTAACTTTACCAAGGACTGGAATCCGTTTTCGGGTGTATTGTCCCTTTAAATATAATTTATGTTCAGCAATAGCCTTTATAGCTGCTGTAGGCAACAAAAGTTCAATGACATAAAGAGTTCTGTTTTTAATGTATCACGTATCATACTGTTTTATTCTGTTATAGGCATATGGAGATCATTATATACTTAAAGACTCATGTTTCTCATTCTGTGATGAACACAAAAAATAATTTTTACATGAGGCCTCTGTATTTAGGTCCGTGCCTCAAAACAAGCATGGGCTGTTATTTCCTAAACGAAGTAGAAAACTCACTTAAGTCAGACTTGGCACAAACCCGGCCAATAGAGTATCTTGAAATGGCTGCTACGCATGAATAAAACGTTGATTTATGTAAAGAAGCTTTTAATACCAATCCAATTAATTGCTTTCGTCACCAAGTACCCAGAATTGCTTGTATTTGGCACAGACATTGAATAGTTTTGGCTTCAGTCCTTGAGCAGGATGGTCTGGTAAGTTTGATGATAACAAGGTAAGTATGAAATCTATGGATATAGGTTACGTTAATGATAAGGTAAGGAATAATGATAAGGTTAGAGTTAGGCTTTGGAGGGGTTAAAGTGACTCTATCACTAAAATAAATGTCTAAAAACTGTCCCCAGGAAAGAAGATATTGAATGCTCACCTCTCCCATTGCCCACACCATTGAATGTCCCCTGCTGCATCCAATGGTTTCATCCACCAGACTACTATGCCCTGTTGTTAAGGCAGAACTAGTGGAATGAACCACTGCATGTAATGGGGGACCTGGTATTTGACACACCCATAGGTCATAGATACCTGCAGTAACAGGAAATCTGAAACACAGCAGAGTTTTATGACATGGGCCACTAAAAAGATAAGTATACATAATGTCCTTTTACAAGGGTGGCTTTTCTTTAATTTACAGCATAAAGTGACAGGATTGCATTAAAACCATACATGATTAGATGTTCATTCATACATTCGTACAAAATCATTAGTCAGAATATTCTTGTTTGCCATCATTGAGTTAACTAATTTAATTTTAAAACCTTTAAAATATATTCCAGACCTGTTGTTTGAGTTTAATCCCAGTTGCATTAAACAGGTTTCATTACAATAAGTATGATTTATTTTTTCAAAGGAAAACCACATTCACAGTTAGAAATTCACTTGAGTCAGTGAGAAAAATTTCTATCCTGCGCCTTTGGATTTTTCTTATCACTACAGTTAAAAAAAGTAATATTGATTTGACCCCACTAACCAATGAAAAGTGGAATGACTGCTCCGAAAATTAAGCTTTTTGAATGAAATTTTACTGGTATATGGCCAGCTTAAAGCAGAACTAAAGAGGTAAAACTCTCCCCCCCCCCCTGCTGGAGCCGTCACTACTGAGGCTATCATTCAGGCACTATTGAGGCTATCATTCCGGCCTTATTGAGGCCATCATTCCTGCACTATTGAGGCTATCATACGGGCACTATTGAGGCCATCATTCCGTCACTATTGAGGCTATCATTCCGTCACTATTGAGGCTATCATTCCATCACTATTGAGGCTATCATTCCATCACTATTGAGGCTATCATTCCATCACTATTGAGGCTATCATTCCGTCACTATTGAGGCTATCATTCCGTCACTATTGAGGCCATCATTCCGGCACTATTGAGGCTATCATACGGGCACTATTGAGGCTATCATTCCGGCACTATTGAGGCTATCATTCCGTCACTATTGAGGCTATCATTCGGCACTATTGAGGCTATCATACGGGCACTATTGAGGCTATCATTCCGTCACTATTGAGGCTATCATTCCGGCACTATTGAGGCTATCATTCCAGCACTATTGAAGAGATCATTCCGGCACTATTAACCCTTTGAGGACCAAGGGACGTATTTGTCCCATGTTTTTAATTGCGTGTATCATCTGATTAAGAACTTAAAACTCTTTTTTTTTTTGGTTTGAGTCAAAATATTAGTTCTTATCAACAAACAACAAATGGATCTAGCTTTTTGCCAATTATTTCATGAAATGGCTTAGTTACAGCAAGTGAAGTGTACGAACTTTAAAAACAAAAAAAATTGATTCTTTTGGCGTTCCGTAATCTTATGGTCATCAAAGGGTTAAGGCCATCATTCCGGCACTACTGAGGCTATCATTCCAGCGCTATTGAGGCCATCATTCCGGCACTATTGAGGCTATCATTCTGTAACTATTGAGGCCATCATTCCAGCACTATTGAGGCCATCATTCCAGCACTATTGAGGCCATCATTCCGGCACTATTGAGGCCATCATTCCGGCACTATTGAGGCCATCATTCCAGCACTATTGAGGCCATCATTCCAGCGCTATTGAGGCCATCATTCCGGCACTACTGAGGCTATCATTCCAGCGCTATTGAGGCCATCATTCCGGCACTATTGAGGGCATCATTCCGGCACTATTGAGGCTATCATTCTGTAACTATTGAGGCCATCATTCCGGCACTATTGAGGCCATCATTCCGGCACTATTGAGGCCATCATTCCGGCACTATTGAGGCCATCATTCCAGCACTATTGAGGCTATCATTCCGGCACTATTGAGGCCATCATTCCGGCACTATTGAGGCCATCATTCCAGCACTATTGAGGCCATCATTCCAGCACTATTGAGGCTATCATTCCAGCACTATTGAGGCTATCATACGGGCACTATTGAGGCCATCATTCTGGCACTATTGAGGCCATCATTCCGGCACTATTGAGGCCATCATTCTGGCACTATTGAGGCTATCATTCCGGCACTATTGAGGCTATCATTCCGGCACTATTGAGGCCATCATTCTGGCACTATTGAGGCCATCATTCCGGCACTATTGAGGCCACCATTCCGGCACTATTGAGGCAATCATTCCAGCACACAGAGAATGGCCCGGCTCTGTTAGCTTAGCAGTGCATGTGCAGCTCAGCTTACAGTACCGAAGAGGACAGCAAGCAGAAAGGTA